GTTTAAGAGTTTTAAGAGTTTAAGAGTTTTAAGAGTTTAAGAGTTTAAGAGTTTTAGCCAAATGCTTTATAATATAGTATAGATATATATATATGGGAAGAAAAAGACACGACTTGGGACAATCAAGAGCTAGCTACATTGTATTATTTGTGTTTGTGAATTTGTGGTGTATATATATATATATGTGGTGTATTTGATTTTGAAGAAAAAAAGAAGTTTGATAGCTAGGGGCAAAGTTTAGGTAGTTGCTAAGAAGTGAGTGATTTGGAAAATTATATATATACATATATGGTGAAAGTGAAGATCCTTTTATTAGTATTTAATTAATTTATTTTGAAATTTTTTGGTACTTGAGATTAACTATTATTAAAAAGAAAAAATATGATTTTAATTGATAATTGGTTACATAAGTGAATGAGGGAATTGAAGTCACTTGGGCAATTAATTTGAAAATACCATTCATCTTTAATTATTTAATTCAATTCAATTGGATAGTAAATAAAAAGAAAATAGTAACAAGTAAAAGATGGATGATGAGATGTGGAAACAATCAATTAATAAAAGATGGATGATGAGATGTGGAAACAATCAATTAATAAATGTCAGGAGAATTCCATGCACGAGAATGAGGATGTGGAAAAGAAAATAAATAGTAAAGAATAATGAATTGATGAAGGTATATATACTCTTCGCTATTCCTAATAGGAATTTAGGAATAGGAAATTTATATTTGAAGAGTCGTACACTCTTCTTTAGTCAACAAGTATCCCTTCATTTCCTCCACCTTTCCTCTTCTTCTTTTTTTTTTTTTTTACTTTTGCTTAATTTCTAACACCAACAGTTTATGAATAAATACACTTCACCACATGCATATATATATATATATATATATATATATATATATATATGTTTTGCAAGAAGATACATGGAAACATGTCTCTTCAATTGCAAAATCTGGATTTGTTTGTATGAGTATATGCCTTATAGAAAATATGTAACACAACAACTACTTTTTATAAAGATATCCGATCCTTTAATTATATATGCATGAACCTACCTACCTTCCATCAATTAATACTACTACTACTACTACTAATGCACACTCAAATTAATTAAAACATATATACCTACCTACCTTCACACATTAATTGGAAATTAAATCAATCATATATATCATTCTCTTCTTTCTAATTAATCAATATATACATACATAAGTATCAAATTAAAAAGAATAAGACACCCAATTTTTTATATAATTTTTTTACATAATCAACAAGTTAATTAATTATATTTAAATAAGATGATTTAGATTTTTATTAAAAAAACATTGAGATAAATATATGGATTTTGATTTGTTGTTTTATGTACATAATGCTTTAGCCCTTACATTATTTATTTATAAATTAAAAACTTTCAAGAGATAAAAACTAAATAGGTTTCTTGATTGATTCGAATACAACTGTTCAAACATTGATAATAGATTTATAATACATACAAAATTAATATTTCTATATTATCACTTTCATCAACAATAAAAATACAAGTTTGAAATATTTTATGACAACCAAAGTAAAAAGTTGTCAAAACTTACATATATAAACTTGTCTAATATCTATAAAATAGGGATTATTTTTAAATATAATTGATATTTTAATCAAACAATTCTGTTTAATTTGATACCTATATCGATGTTCCTTTTCTTGCTTTTTTAACTGTATTAATTTTCAAGATTTTGATCATGAATATGTTTATATGCGAATATCAATTTATTGTATTATAAATCATTTATATCGCATTCTTAAAATTTACGTTTACAATTTATTATTGCATATGTATTCATATTTGGACTTGATAAAATTAGCTGATAAATATTTCAAATACAAAATAAGTATCTAGCTTCATAATGCATAAAAATATTGTATAAAATTGATAACCAACCAAATGATATATATCTCACCCTTTGAAAACTATAAAACAAAATTAAGAAAGGTATAAATTAAGATTCAAGTTTTTAGCTTTAATTAAAAAGCAGAATGTATCTTGATTTTTTCTTTTAGATATATATATATATTATAAAAGTGGTTGAGATGTAGAAGATGTGATGAAATATCTCATATACTCTAGGTTTAATTTTAGACGATAATTATGATCACTAAATTTATCAAGATTAATTATATATTTTATATCCGGAGATTGTACACTCCTAAAAAACAACCAATACACTTTGAACTACTAACACAAACTATGTATCATATCAGCCGTTACACCAACTCAAATGTGAACACATGGTACCTAAAAGTCAATCAACATGGATCCTCAAAACTACGTCGTCCGCCTCATGCAACGCTTATAAATAGCGTCACGTCCCTTCATCTTCAAATATCCATAATTCTAATTACTCAAACACACTTGAGATTTGAGATATATTCAGCATATATACACACACCTCCATATATCATTAGTAGATAAATATATATATATATATATATATTAATTAATGGCCGTCGTCAATAATGTCATCTTCTCCAAGATAGGGATTATTGGAGGTGGCATAAGTGGCTTAGCCGCTGCAAAACAGCTATCTCAATACAACCCCATGGTGTTCGAGGCTACCGACTCCATAGGGGGTGTTTGGAAACACTGCTCCTTTAGGACCACCAAACTTCAAACTCCTCGTTGCGACTACGAATTCTCTGATTATCCTTGGCCAGTGAGGGATAACTCCACCTTCCCATCTTATGCTGAGATTCTGGATTATCTCAACTCTTATGCTAAACATTTTGACTTGTTCAAATTCATCAACTTCAACTCAAGGGTCATCGAAATCCGGTACTTAGCCACCGGACACCTCCCTACTACTGCTGACAAGCTCTCAACTCATCATGTGCTGTCTGGAAAACCCGTTTGGGAGGTTGCTGTCCAGAATAATGGTTCCAGTATTCAGGTTTAATTTAATTTAAGATATCTCTCTCTCTCTCTCTCTCTACATATATACATACATATATATACCTAGCTTGATTTAAATAAATAAATTAATCTTGAACTTTTGTTAAACACAAATTTTCAAGTGTATTGCATGCAAGGATGCCTAGTGATTAAGAAAAGAAAGAAATTTGTATGTGGGTCTGATCAAAGGTTATATATATGTATGCATTGCAGTGGTATAGATTTGAGTTTATCGTGGTGTGTATGGGGAAATATGGAGATGTACCGATAATACCCAAGTATGGGAAGAACAAAGGACCAGAAGTGTTCAAAGGGAAGGTGATGCACTCTCAAGAATATAGCAAGCTCAACGCCCAGGAGTCTTCCCAGCTTCTCAAAGGAAAGAAGGTGGTGGTGGTGGGTTACAAGAAATCAGGCATTGATCTTGCTGTTGAATGTGCCGAAGCTAACCAAGGTATATACATACATACATATTATATATATATATATATATATATATATATCATGTCAACCTTCTTCCAACATAACCCATCTCGATCACCATATTGTAAATTCTTCATTCAATTCGTTTTCTTTAATCATATTTTCATTGGTGATACTTAATGATTTAAACATGCATGATCGAAGATATATATATATATATATATATATATATGTGGAAAATTCAAATTCCAATATTTTCCACAACCACGAAATTGTGTGTGTCGTTTCCATGATGTTTATCGTCTTCTTCTATGTTTGTATTTTTGTCTATTTTAGTATGCAACGAACCAAAAAATCTCCTTAAACTTTCTGTATTAAGCCATTTGACCTTCATTTATTTTATCTTTATATACACATCATATCATTTATCCCACATATATAATATATACTTATTTTTATTTCTGTTAGTTAATTGATGTTAATATTGTTATTTGTTGTATAATATATAGGGGAAGAAGGGAAAGCCTGCACCATGGTTGTTAGGACTTCGCATTGGACAGTTCCACACTACTCCATATGGGGATTGCCATTTTACTTATTCTATTCCACCAGGTTTTCTCAGTTCCTCCATGAAAGACCCAATCAAGGGACTCTCAGGACAATTCTCTGCCTCCTATTATCCCCTGCGGTAATTAATTAATCCCCCATATATTATAATATCACTTTTTTAATTAATTAGCTCATTAATTACATATGACGATGAACTGAACAGAGAAAAGCAGCATCCAAGATGATCGAGTCTTATCTGCTATGGAAGCTTCCACTTGTCAAATATGGACTAAAACCAGATCACCCTTTTGAGGAAGATTATGCATCCTGTCAGATGGCCATCTTGCCGGACAAGTTCTTCCCTGAAGCCGATAAGGGAAAAATCAATTTCAAAAAAGCATCAAACTGGTGGTTTTGGGAAGGTGGTGTTGAGTTTGAGGATAACACCAAGTTAGAGGCTGATGTTGTTCTTCTTGCCACTGGTTATGATGGCAAAAAGAAGCTTACTGCTGTACTTCCCGAACCCTTTCGTAGTTTCCTGGAATTTCCCTCTGGCATCATGCCTTTATATAGAGGTACCATTCATCCCTTCATTCCAAGCATGGCTTTCATGGGGTACGTGGAAAGTGTTTCAAACCTGCACACTTCAGAGATACGTTGCAAATGGTTAGTCAGGCTGATAGATGGTAAGTTCAAGTTACCTAGCATGGACAAAATGCTGGAACAGATAACCACAGAAATGGAAATAATGAAGAAGACAACAAGGTTTTACAAGAGAACTTGCATTTCCACTTTCAGCATCAATCACACTGATGAAATATGTCAAGAGATGGGATGGAGTTCTTGGAGGAAGAAGAGCTGGTTGGCTGAAGCATTTACTCCTTACAAGAGTCAAGACTATGATGATGATGATCAAGACCGAATTTGAATATATATATATATATATATATAGATATATATTATATCGTAATCTGTCATTGATTACCTTTATCCATCTGTTTATTATATAAAATAAGCAAGTACCAATTGCTAGCTAGCTTATATATACCAGCCCTAGTTGTGGATGGACATTTTTACATTCAAGAAAAAAAAAAAATGAAATGCTTAAAGTGTAATATTTAATTGATGTATTTGAGTAAGGATTTTGAAACCAAAGTCTTTGAAAAAGTTAACCATATACTTTGCATGTTTAACAAACCGAAACTCTTGACTTGAGTAATACATTAATTAAATGATTTGTATTTAATTCATTGAATAAAATGTTTTTTTTTCTGAAATTGTCGAGTGTTATCTAATATTATCCGAATTTTGAATAAAATTTTGCCGGGGTTCCGTCCCCTTTACCCAAAAAAAAAAAAAACATTACCCGAATTAAATAATTTCTATAAAAATATTAGGATTTTTTTAAACAATTAATCATCATTTTTAAAAGAGTAAATAACATTCTTGAGCATGTACTCAAAATTTGGATTTGATTTTCCGTGAAGTTTGGTGGTGTTGGAGAGCATCAAATTGAACAAGTTGAGGGGCTGCCAAGTTACTAAAACAAATCAAGAGGGTATTAAGCGTAAAATGGAAAAAGACGATTAAGTATTAGGGCGAACAAGTAAGAAATCTTCTTTTGATCCTTGCAAATCAATGGAAGGCTTTCCAAAAGCAATAAAGAGTGGCCTCATCACCAAGGAGCCTTCGCCTACTGCTACCAATCTTTCATTCAGTCCTGGGGGCACAGGCTCCTATTCGGCTTCTTCATCGGACCCAGTTTCTCTCTTGCTCACCAGACCCCCCAGGTACCCAACTCAATTCTTGTTTCCAGTTCACTAGTAAAATCATGATATTGCGATTCTTGCCTTTTGTTTTTCATGTTTTCTTCGTATTTATATAGTGACGTGGGAATGGTTATGATTGGGTTGTTGCAGGCGAGCGGTATCGCTGTTGACTTGCTCCAAGCTTTGTGGGTTTTGCTTTGTTGCTGGGATTATAGTTGGCTACACCCTGAAGCAGCGAGTCCGTCGATGGGCTGCTAGACTCCTGAGGAGGATCAAGGATGATTGATGTTGTATCCAAAAACTCTTTTCCCTTGACATTATATTAAGGGCCTATTTAGAAAATTGAAAAACTAATGATGCTTTGCTTCAGCTGCTAGAAACTAACAAATATAGATACAAGCTTCTCTTGTATCCTGATACTATTTAGTAGATGCTGATTTTTAAAGATCTGTTCTTTGATTCTGTGGTTCAATAACATTATCTGATGATTGATGAGGTGGAGAAGATCATTATTACAACACCACATGTGCAACTGCTACATTCTTTCTCTGTAATGTATCTTTTTTTTAGTATCGGTGATGTGCCATGAAGTAGAAGTATTTCTGTAATCTAATTTGAGCTATTTTTTTTTTCTTTCGTAGAACAGAGTGTTTGTTGTCTTGATTCTCTCTTTTTATTTATATATATATATTATATCCCATGAATGACTAGTACAAGCAGGAGCTACATGAGTGTAAAATGTACACCTTTCCCCTTCCTCTAAGTGCCTTCTTGGGACTTCCTTTGTTATTTGGTTCTGGCCCCATTTGGTGGATCAATTTTATGTTTGGGATATTTCAGCCTGTGCACATGGGTCTTGTTCAGAGTTTAAATAACAATTGGGGATTAGAGCCTTGGGATTATTGTGGATTTGTACCTATTATGGGTTCCTAGTGATACAGATTTCATATGGTTGCTTCTAATTTGGTTCTATATATTTCTGTTGAGATGGTGGGGTTCACTTGAGATGCCGATAATATGGTTTTTAAAGATTCCTTGTGCTGTTTGGATGCAACAGTTGAGTTCTGCTTCACTTGGACTATCTTGGTTATGGCTGGTGGATCTGTTTGGTTTGGTTGTATCTGATCTGAACCGTGGCTGCTGATCTTTTATGAGAGGGATAATCTGCTCTGCTTTAAAAGGATAAGATCACAGGGTTCGGGGCTTTGGTTTGTTTCTTTGATTTGGATTAAAAGGAGTGGTCCCTGAGGCCGTTAAGTGGGAGTATGAGGTGCATTATGTTTGTCTGATGAGTTTGGTTTTGATATGGCAACAAAATGGGAGTAACTGTTGGTCCTTGTTGGATTATAATATGGGAGACATAAGGTGTAAGGGGTATGGAAATCATTGGTTTGATATTTGAATTATGGAGCGTGGTTTATCCAAATCTAGTATTCTTGGTACAAATTGGTGAAATCAAAGCCTTTTTTCATCCGACCCTTTTAATATGTATCACGACACAGATGAGAAATTAGGAAAACAAGAAAGGCAAACCAGCGGCCATCATCCTTCACATTTGGTCATTGAGGAAAAGAAAGCAGTGGTATTGAATCTCCCAAGTCATTCTATGCATAGACAAGTACATATGATTCTATACATTTTTTTAGTCAAATGTGCATTGGACAAACATCAAGACTAGTAATATAGTAGTTCATGTTCACGGCTGTTGATCTTATTTATTCTCCTTTTTTTTATTTTAAAAAAATTGTCTGGATTTTTGAAACTTTGAGTTATCGCATATCCCTATCCCAGTGGGTCCTACTACAGACATTTTTCATGGGCTTACTTGGTTTCGGGATTGGGTGTTCTCTTTGTTGTGGTGATTTGTGGTTTGGTTGGTTTTCTTTAGATCAAGAGAAAGAGGAGGATGTTGGCAACAAAGAGTTTTAGTGATGAGAATGTGATTGCAATACATCAGAACAACAATGAACAAGTATTTTGTTTACAAATGCTTATTAATGAATTTATGATATTATGTTTTGCTAGTTTTTTTTTATTTATTTTTTTTATTTATGATGATGCTCAAGTTGTTCTGGGCCACTATTCGATTTAAAAAATTAAACACCAAGAGATAAATAAACAATGCTTAAATTTTACACAGAGATAAAAAATAAAAATGCATTTTTTATTCCAAAWAAAWAAAWAAAAAGTTGAGAAGAAAARRMAAAAAAAAAAAAAAAAAAAAAAARTTCACGGGTCGGGTGGATACCGGCTAAAATCACGGATGCAAGCATATCCCCCACCACGATCGTCATTCAAAAATTGAATAGCCGTTACTATTTTTCTTTTTGTTTCACAAACGGAAACAAATCCCTTCGATACCTCCCCTCTTATCTTGAAATTACATCCAACGGAATACAAATTGTTTCTTGATTCTTCCTTACGAGCAACCAATCTGGATTCGGATTCCCCCACTGTAAGTGCAATAGATTCTTTCCAAACTGTTCATTGCTTCCTTTTCCCCACTTGATTCCCCTACTTCTTACTGATGCATAAACGTCCAGTTCATAAGATGAGCGTCAGTGCGCCAGTCACACCAGCAACAAAGATTCCAAGGACTTCTTCTTCTTCAACCCCAGGTGGTCCAAGAATTCATCAAGACAAGATCCTGGTCACCGTTAGGATCAGACCTTTGACTCCTAGAGAGCTTGCTGCCTATGATCTTATTGCTTGGGATTGCACTGATGAGAATACTGTTGTTTCTAGAAACCTCAATCACGACCGCCATAATGGAACTTACACTTTTGGTACATCTTCCTTCATCAACCTCATTTTCTACTGCAATCTGTTTCTTACGCTTTTTTTATATGTTTCAGATAAAGTCTTTGATCCCTCTTGTCCAACTACGAGGATTTATGAACAAGGGGCTAGAGATGTTGCCCTCTCTGCTATCAACGGGATTAATGGTATGTTCTAGTCTTCTTTTCTGTTCGCTTTCTAGGTTTATGGCTCCAAACTTTATTTCCTCTTTTCTTTTGCAGCTACAATTTTTGCCTATGGTCAGACTAGCAGTGGCAAGACTTACACCATGAAGGGAATCACAGAAAATGTTATCAACGACATTTATTCCCATATTGAGAATGTGAACCATCATTTCTTTGATTTTGATCCAGCGTAATTTTGACCTAGAAAATATGCAGGGCTCATATACTTCTTTAACACTTGATTATATAATGTAATGCTCAATACTTCTACCTTTACAGGCTGCAGAAAGTAAATTTGCATTAAGGCTTTCTGCTCTTGAAATCTATAATGAGACTGTAGTAGACCTCTTGAATCGTGATTCTGGTGCCCTTCGTCTCTTGGATGATCCTGAGGTGACGACATCAAATGTGGCATACAGATAAAATGTATTTGTTCCCCCACTTTGTTGTTTACAGTGTCTTATTCTGTTTATATCCAGAAAGGCACGGTAGTGGAGAAACTGACCGAGGAGGTCGTCAAAGATGGTCAGCACCTACGGTTCTTAATTGCTACTTGTGAAGGTAATTGACATCATGAAGCTTATCATGAACAACGTTAATAATACTCCCTCTCCTCAATAGTTCTTAACTTTGTGTTTGCATGTTTGATTCTGCCTTCCAAGCATGCCACAATATCCCAAAGTGGCTCGTTATTGTTTCTTACTTCCTTGATTTCATCATTACACTTGGTTCTGCTTGCAGCTCAAAGGCAAGTTGGGGAAACTTCTTTGAATGATCGAAGCTCAAGATCACATCAGATAATCAGACTGGTAATCTTAACATTTAGTCTTATTTTTTATTAGAGGTCATGTGGTGCAGCTTGCCCTTTTAGTTTTGTGTAGAGGCTTCCTGACTTTTTGTTGTTCTGATGGTAAAAGATGTCTTGCCAGCACCAGTCCCATCAGGCTCTAGTGATCAATGTCTGATAATGATGAGAAAGAATCAGAAAGTTCATTTTTTTCTTTGCAAATCTTCAAATTTTCTTGTTCAACATTATCATGTTGGACATGTTAATGGCTTTTTTAGCTTATGCATTACTAATAGAGTGTCTTACTGGTCACCCCTTTTTTGGTGCATAATTCTATAGCTGGACGTCTCAAACTGTCATCCTATTTTGCTTTTTCTTAGCAAACTTTAACCGCCTCGTGCTGATTTTTTTACTTCTTATGTTATTAGTTCATGTGAGGGAAATGGGAAGAAGCCAAATTTTATGTTTTTCAATTCAAAACACTTACATTCACATGTATGATGTATGCACACCAATATCCTTATTTGAATATATTTCTTTAAAATTTGAGTCTGCATACTTGCACAGATATGATAAGCACACATAAATGCATGTGTTTACTTCTGCAAACCAAAGGCCAATGGGCCTGTAATTGAATCTTCATGTATAAATCTGCTACTTTAAACATATTTAATTGAATGTCCAACATAGCTTTTTCTTTCACTTAAAAGTGTCCTGTTCCTGATGTGATACAGTACTGCCCTCCATTTTTCTGATGTAAACCAATGTTTTTACATGTGTGTTTTTGTAGTTGAGTTAATAAAAACTTCAAATTAGGGCTGGATTCTAATTTTGGTGCATAGGAATGTGGATTATGCATGTTTTATTTACCTTCAGTTGGTGACTTGCTCACTGATCGTTTTCGCCATAAACATTCTCTTGTTTCTTGACATGCCAGTCTATACATGTCCCTTTCCAGTTCATCATTCTCTTTAAGTTTGATTAACTTCTGCATCTCTAGTAGCATGTTCGGACTTATGTCCGAGGTTTCTATGCTACCTTACGAGGAGAAATAAATAGAAATATGTGTTACTTCCAATAGCTAACGTACTTGCAACCATTTGGCATATCATTCCGATGCTGTCTTACAAGATACTCAACTTATTTACAGAAATGTTATATGGTGACATATTTATCCCATTGTTTAACGGCTTTTGTTTTCAGACTATTGAGAGTAGTAGTCTTTGTGAAGAATCAAGATGTGGAAGATCTCTCTTGGCAAGCTTGGTATTTTCCTATTTTAATTTTGGTTGCTCATATGGTTATTCCTCGTTAGTTGTTTCCTACCTGTTAAATTCCTGCAGAGTCTTGTGGATCTTGCTGGCAGTGAGCGTGTAGCTCAAACAAATGCAGATGGTACTAGGTTGAAGGAAGGCAGCCACATAAACAGAAGCCTACTCACTTTGACAACCGTGATCAGGAAGTTAAGGTTAGCCTTTCAATGGATGAAAATTAATCTAGAATTATAAAGAGTTGAGCATTTGGAAGAACATCAAATCTCAACACTATTAACTCCTCCTATGCCGAAGTGTCTTGGTAAATTTTCTGTGCTATAGGAAAAATGTTACCTGGTAAAATTAGAGTAATCACAATAACATACATTTAAATACAGTATCTGATAAACGCCGAGTATTTCTGTTATGCAGTGGTGGGAAGAAGACTGGGCACATACCTTACAGAGATTCAAAACTCACAAGAATATTGCAGTCTTCACTTGGGGGAAATGCACGGACTGCAATAATATGCACACTGAGTCCTGCTTTAAGCCATGTGGAGCAATCACGGAACACCCTCTGTTTTGCAACTAGTGCTAAGGAAGTTACAAACAGTGCTCAAGTAAATATGGTAAGATGAACATCCAATCTTGTGAGGCAGAAAGCATACGAGCAGCATATGTTGTAACTGAGTAAGTTATAGCAAAGAATCACAACCTGAAATAATTTCTTAATGGTTTGAGACCAAGAATATTTCGAGTTGAAAAATGATCATAGTCAGTCTTGTACTTGGTCTCAGTTGTTGTACCTGGGCCATCTTTTACCAAGTTCCATCCTCTTCTCTTTGTGTCCCTCCTTATCTGGATGCTTTGTTCCTATTTTCTCTATAAACTTTTCTAAATCTCATACTTACACTAGCTAAACCTATGGGAACTAACCACAAGTATTGTACGTCTTTTTTTCCATCTCTAATGTGCTAAAACTGCTACTATCATTTATGAACTACATTGTATTAAGCATTGTCTTTTGCAGTAAACTAACGACCACATTGTATAGATCACCTATATCGACAATTTATTAGATATGCTTATTGTAATGGAATTATTTCTTTACTGTTAGGTTGTTGCTGACAAGCAATTGGTGAAGCATTTGCAGAAGGAAGTGACTAGACTTAAAGCAGAATTGTTGAGTCCGGAGCCTTCTTCCTCCAAATGCTTAAGGTCGTTGCTGTTGGAAAAAGAGCAGAAAATTCAGCAGGTAGGCATGTTTTAGCCTATTCCGCACAAGTAACGAGGTTTTGTTTATTTTCTAACTTTTGCTTAATTGTTTACTAGTATGGGATAAGCAGCAAATGACTATTGTTGGTGCATTTATAGAGGTTTAGGTATATTCTGCTTCTCTCACATTGCCAGTTGCCACTTCTAACTTGTACCTTCTGAGACTTGAGTGTAAGAGAGAGGTCCCAATTTACATTAGACATACTATCATGATGCAAATGTTGTAATAACAACACCACCAACCCTGCTATCCAAAACTAGTTGGGGCATATGCATGCTAATAATAGAACCAACAAATGGTGTTACCCAAGGTTCTGAGACATGAACGATGCATTAAAAGGCCAATGACGGAGTTGCCGTATTCACATTAAACCATGTGGTTTCACCAATAGGGTTCCACCCTAATCCTCTCGGGATACCCTTTGGTCTTGTATTTCTACTACACACATGGGAAATCTTACCATCTTCCAATAGAAATTACACGGTAGCTTGTTGCTAATTTAACCACCTCGTACTTATCGCATCCTCATCATCAAATATGTCATTTTTAACAACTTTTTTGGCAATCTTACTGCGTTTTGCACTTACCTATCAACACAGCCAAAAAGTTGCATTTCATATGCTCCGCTTTGTTTGCTTGTTCCAACAACCTCAGTATTCCTCTACACCTCCAGCTCCCATTAGTGGATTATTTAGTCTCATCTATCAATCCTTTGTTGGTCAAGTTGTCTTGCAGATGGTAAATGATTTACATAGCATTAGTTATCACTCACATAGATGATTGAAGGACATTTTTAGTGTGGGGGTGGTGGATAGAAGGCATGTACCATTGTAACATGCTTTTAGAATCAATCTCAATGGATAAATCCTGATGCAGATGGAGAGAGAAATGAATGAGCTCAAGCGCGAGAGAGACCTTGCACAATCAGAGCTTGAAGTAGCAAGAAAATTACACAAGGAAACAAAGGTCGGTTTTCATAATGCTCTGTTCGTTTCCATCTATCTACCAACTTTTTTATCTTTAATCTATTACCATACAGCAGTACTTATACTTGGTTTACTTACCAGGAGCTCAATCATGGCCGTCAAGTGGCTAAATGTCTCTCTTTTAATAGTGAGAATGTATCAGTATCAGGTAGGCTAATCTCAGAAAGAAAGACACACAGAAGGCGGAGACCATTGAGACAGTCAGCTGCTTCTATCAACCCATGCATGCTGGTGCATGAAATTAGAAAGCTTGAAATGCGGCAGAGACAGCTAGGTGAAGAAGCAAATCGTGCACTTGAGTTGCTTCACAAGGAGGTTTCCTCTCACAGACTAGGGAATCGGGATGCTGCTGGAACCATCGCAAAGCTGCTGTCTGACATCAAGGATATGCATGCAATTAGTAGTTTTATTCCTGAGGATATTGAAGTTAAAGATAAAGCCAGTTTGAAGGAAGAGATAGTGCGGTTGAAATGTGAAGAAAATACTATTGCATCTTTGGAAGAAAAGCTTGAAAACGTACAAAAATCATTAGACAAACTGGTTATGTACAGTGGTGAGGAGACACCAGATTCCAGAACCCCGTTAAAGAAGAAGAAAATCCTTCCTTTCACACTGAGAAATAATGGCAGTATGCCAAATTTTATACGCTCTCCTTGTTCACCTTCATCCTCAACTCTGCTGCATGGTACTGAGAATAGGGATCCCGTGAGTCATGACTTGTTATCAGCAGTTGATACATTTCAAATGCAGAAGGCCACTACTGAGGAGAAAATTACTCCTGTATCGAAACAACCAAGCTCAGTCAATGTGAAGAAGATCCAGATGATGTTTAAGACAGCAGCCGAGGATAACATTCGAAGCATCAAGGCTTATGTTACTGAATTGAAAGAACGGGTGGCAAAGCTACAATACCAGAAGCAGCTACTAGTCTGCCAGGTTAGAAGCTGTCTGTTTTTCTTACATATGCAGCCTTACTTACTGGCATTATTAAAAACTAACCGTTTTGCAGGTATTGGAGCTAGAGGAAGCAAATGATGGTGTGAGCGATGAGACTGATATGGGGGAGAGATCTCCTCCCATGGCATGGCACCTTGTGTTTGAGGATCAAAGAAAACAAATAATCATGTTGTGGCATTTGTGTCATGTCTCAATTGTACACAGGACACAGTTCTTTATGTTATTCAGAGGAGACCCTGCTGATGAGATATACATAGAAGTGGAACTTAAAAGGTTGACATGGTTGGAGCAGCAGTTGTCAGAGGTTGGGAATGCAAGTCCAGCACTGTTGGGTGATGAACCAGCGGGGCCTGTGATGTCAAGGTGAGTTTTTGATTGATCTCAAATGTTTGTAAAAGCGTTTTGATTGAGTTTGACTAATGAAATGATGATGATATAAATGATACAGTATCAAGGCTCTTAAGCAGGAGAGAGAATATCTGGCAAAGAGGGTGAGCACAAAACTAAGTGCAGAAGAAAGAGAGATGCTATACAGAAAATGGGACATCCCAATGGAAGGGAAGCAGAGGAGGCGACTTCAACTTGTAAGCAGATTGTGGACAGACCCTCTGAACATGGTGCATGTTAAAGAAAGTGCTGAAATTGTTGCAAAGCTTGTTGGATTTTGCGAATTGGGGGAGCATGCTTCCAAGGAGATGTTTGCACTCAACTTTGTAACTCCATGTGACAAAAAGGCCTGGATGGGTTGGAACTTGATATCAAATCTCTTGCATCTGTAAACCATACAAATATCAAATCCTTGATCCCAATAGTAACATGTAGTTTTCTTATATAGCTAGTCTAGAATCAGATAGGATTTTCTTATCATCTTGTTAAGCCTAAGAGGATAGCTAATCTGTCCAAAAAATTAGTAGTAAACCAGCTCAAGTTACAATTCTTCTAAGAAATCCCCAAGGTAAATGTCTTGATTAATACACTACCAAACCACCTATAGTGGAACCATGCGAAATCTTACATGTGTTTGATTTGTCATAAACTCATTGGACATTATGATATTATGGATTGATTATTTGTGGAAGGCTCAAAGTACTTCTCGTTTAAGCGTTGTTGTGTTGGGTTACTTGCATTTGATCAATTTTAATTTAGGAGAAAATATATTTGATCAATTTTATAATATTCCTGTTATTGTCACCAAGTTGGTTTTAGACTTATAAACCGGCTTTTAATACACCTACAACATAAAAATCGACCCACCTAATACTTGACGAATATGTAAATAAGATAAAGTACTAAAAGTATTTAATAACAATATAATGAACGTAATGACATTACTACTCTTGATTGGTTGGTGGCCGAAGTATTATCTCATGTTGGATGTATTCAAAATTGCCGACACAATTATCTAGTGTATGCTACTCTACTAAATGTTTAGGAACAAGGTCTTAAATTACGTGAAATGTGGCATGGCGGTGAGGTTAAAACCTAAAGCCTTGAGTTACGATGAGATCACAACGTTTTTCAAGACGTGTCATAAGGCGGCATATATATACATACACATACACCCACATTTGCACGTGTTAGTATTTTGAATAATATTTTAAAATAAATTAAATTCATATAAAGTAATAAATAAATAAAAAGACCCATTGATACCAAATATATAGAGCTTGTAAAAAATGACATCAAGAGTCTACAATTGGGATTAAACCTCTACTCACTACTTTTTTCAATTTTCAAAGAATTCGTGTTCGATTTTTCGTATACGAGAATGTAAGTAAACATTTACCTATTTAAGGTTTTAGTTTAAGGTTTTAGTTTTTAAGTTTCATTTTTATGTTTATTTAAGTCTATATCTCTTATATAATTATCATTTATCGCTCAAGTTATATATTAAAGTAATCTCGCATCTTACAAAATAATGATGGGTAACATACCATAACGTGTTACAATGCAAGTCCAACCGTATAGTGGAACCATAGGGGTTAAACGCGACGATGAATCCAAACCTCGACGTCACAATGAGTTATTTAGAACCATGTGCATTCATTTAATTAAAAATAATTAAATATTAGAGTAAATTAATATCTTGGTTCATGCGGTTGCCACTCACTATCAACTTTAGTCCCTCTTTTAAACTAGTTATATTTTTTGTCACTGTGATTGCCAATCTGTTCACTTTTGGCCTCTCTGACTAACTTTTGTTAAAAAAAAAAAGTAAACTACAAATTTGGTCCTATAGAGTTTGTATGGTGCATTCTAATTGGTTGAATTAGGTTATTAGAGTTTGTATTAATGCAAAGATTTGCATTTGATAGTATAAAATGTCTCTCATTTAACAGAATTTTTTAACGATCTTTAGATTAAACATGTAAGAAAAAAAAGTATTATTTTCAACATATTGTAATTTCAAAACCAGAGAAGTGTTATTTTTGGAAGGGACCAAGTTTGCAGTCTACTCCCTTTTAGAAAAAAGTTAGCAAGGAACAAAAGCCAAATAGATTGACGGCTACAATAATCAAAATTGTGATCAGTTAAAAGAAAGACTAAAACTGTAACTTACTCTACAAAATATGATCTGAATATAATAAGCCAGGATTAATAAAAACAATAATCTCATATTTATGTAACCCAGGACGAAAAATGTAATTTAGTCTAGCCCTATTTATGGGGACTAAACTAAATGTTGTTACAAAAATTGACCCAAACATAAACGAATTAATATTATGAGCTCGATTGTTCCAACAAATTATGAAGGGAAACAAGAGGTCCATTGCTTAATGGTTGAGCTGAATCGATGAGGTAGAGCAGCAGCCCACATAGTGAAATCTGGCAAAGGTCCCGTGAGTGCAAGATAATTATCACCTTCACTTTTCGCCATCTTTTTCCAATTTACCTGTGTTATAGTGCCAGATTGTGAGTCTCTCTTTCTAGTCACGGACAATAATAGTTTTCTTACATGCACAACAAGTTGTTAGTTTCAATCTGTATGTTATAGAATTAATCCTTTATGGTTGCATGTCTATGCATCAAATCGTTGATGAACAATGAGACCATGGATGAAGATCTAAAAGAATGAAGGTACCCACTTGCCCAGGAAATGCTTTGCACAATACATCTAGGGTTGAATTTTTCTCCCAGATGTTATCATTTTCGTTGCCAATTGATCCATTAACGATAGTATCGTTTCTGCGACCGCAATTTACCATGAGACGACCATTTGGCATCAACTTATCATTAAGTTCCAACCAGGTTTGTACCTGTACAAGAGATGAATCAAACAAACCAAGCAGTATAAACAGATACATTCTAACCACTCACTTACGCATTGGCTGTGCATATACCTACCTCTTGCAACTGGGGCAAAACCTCTCCGCCAGAAAACAAGTCAATAACAATACCTGAAATGTTATCAAACAAAATGAAATGAAACAACAGACAAGGCAGGCACCCATATTGCATTAATTCACAATAATTACTTCACCAGCATATCCTCCAGAAACACTGCTTGACGTAGAAAGTGCATCACCAATATGGACATGAAGAATGCCACCACCTTCAGTATGCTTCTCAAGATCAGACAACCCAAGATGTTCTCTTGCTTTATCAATCAACTGTAGTATATATTCAATATTCAAGAATTCAGAAGGACCACAAACAGTAATGAAGAAAGAGAGCATTATAATATAAAAAAAGTGAAGACTTATGTCCCCATGTTAGTCCATGAAGGTATCAAGTATGTCCATAAAGTTCTGAAGCTGCCACATAAATGGTTTGCTGATATGCCACATGAAGGAGTGGGTAGTGATAAGTATAACTTCCCCAAAAGCTGGTCCTTATGTTCCACCCCAGCCCCTGACGAGCTCAAATTGCTTAATCTAATACTATAGTTGCTACTTCCAGAGTGCAACAGTGACACAGCTCCCTGCTCTCTCCAACATTTCCTTTCTTTTAGGTTAGGAACTACTAGCACTACTACATGAGACAAACAGAGAATTGGAAAGGTGACAAGGAAAACACCTAAATTAGAGGAGTTACATTGTTGTACAAAAGTTTACTTTCTATCCTAATTATCAGCACGATGATTGATTATGATTCCTATTTACAATTTTCCCTTCCTTTCCAACACTACCTTAGTACAGTTGGGTAACTCAGCCAAGTGTTCTTATTATTCGTGCCTCATCTTTAATCATAGATTCTAGTGGCTCCCATCACATAACAAGTATCGTCTAGTCTAAAACCTTCCCAACAAGCCCCTGTTAACGTAGACAATAAACATTCATGTCATTTCTGGTTGACCCTCGGTTCTCCTGATTAACGTTAATCCTCTGTTTTATACATCCTAATTTTTCTGAACAACCTTAATTGTGTTAGCCATTACTAAACAGCTAAATATTTCTACAATCTTTGTTCCTGCTCATCGTTCCTGCACATGGAGCAGGTTGATCATCATTTGGCATGTAACCATAATGTTGGAACTACCACATATCTTCATTCCATCTAGCTTGTCCATATTCACTTTGACTACTAGCTCGCTAACATCTTGATGAACGCCTCTGCAGTAGGGTGAGATTGATTTTATTTTCAGCATGTTTGGCATGACGAGCATGCATGATCCATCAAGGAGTGCTGGTAGTATTAGGGTTCCATAAGCCCATATTTTCTCTCTTTATGTTTATCTATGAACCTAAGGATTTGCATCCATGGTAGATGCTTCGTTTCACTATGACCATTCTCTTATTCGTTGGAAAACAAGGAATAGAAGAAGCAGGAACCTGTATCTCAACCTAATTGGAGTATGCTGTTAACTATCTTGTTAAAACTCAGCAATTGTGCTTCTACATTTTCTTTGTATTCTACTTTACCATCAGAAATGGAAGAGGGAGTGGGGGACTCCTTAAGGGAACACTATAAGATTCATTACAATTTCATCAATCTCCCATCCATGAAGCTGCAGTGAAGGCCACAAGGTAAGCATCAAATGTGCAGCTGTTCCACCGGCCTGAAATTCCGATATTTCAACTTCAGTAACCCATGTCTATTTCAGTTCAACAAGAAACGATTAATAGATTATTCACAAACAGAGCATAAGACAATTGAACTTTACCAAGCCAAAAATTGCAATCGGACCTTTTGGAATAATAGCTGGTAAGGCAGCGAATTCATCCTGTAGATTCATGGTACACAATGAGAATGATGAAACATTCACATTTATGGTATACAAATTGCATGAATAGAACAGTAAGCCATTTAGTCTTACACTTTACAACCAAGGATCGGTAGTCAAAGATAAACCTAAAATATCAACAAAGAAGAAAGGAATTTGAACAAGCAGATCCAGGAATAACAGGTGTTATGGCACTGTGGTCAGTACAACTGTGACGGTGCTAGTTATTATGGAATAGTAAGCACAAGATTTCAGATGTATATTTCAGAATGACTTTCTCATCAAATGAGTACAAACAAGAAACTGTTTCTTTGATAGGGAACATGTAGAGTTTTATTCCAATGCACAATTTATTGAAAGAAATTATGGTTTGACTACATAGATAAAAAAATGTTAAAGGTAATGCCAAGATAAAAGAAATAGACACTTTGTGAAAGATTGAAGTCTATCCAGATCCAATTATGAGCTCTTGGATCATAATTGATTCATGTGAGGTTAGTCTCTTTACATTTAAACATTTAGTTTAATTCAATGCTAAGAATAAGCAGAAGTACCCACGCAAGTCCATACAGGAGTTTGTTTTTAATATTTAAATTATATTCTGTTTGTAGCCATTTCCCAACAACATTGTTAACTAAACTTACCAGCCTAAAGAGAATTTTATGAAAGGATTGAATTTCATTGACAGAGTTAAGCCCTAAATGTATACATTGTTGTACATGAATCAGGAAAGAATGACTACCTCCCTAATCGACAAGGATTACAATATCTATTCTAATCTACAAGGATATACAATATTATCCTAGCAAAGAAATCGGTTTGAATAATAGGACAGATATTTTATATTAGTATTAGATGCGGTTTTGCAACACTCCCCCTCAAGCAGGGCTATAGATAATGATCAATCAGCATGCTAGTCAAATCAGCAAATCCAAGTTCTGATAGGCTCTTCAATAAGACGACAGCCGCCTGTTGTAATGTTGGTAGGTACTAGGTAGACCAAGAAGATATTGGCTTCATCAACTTCCTCTTCTATAAAGTATTGGTCAAACTCCACATGCTTCATACTGTCAAAATGAACTCACTTATTTAAGATATTAATTAATAATTGCTAACTTATTGTCACAATACCGTCTTGTAGTACCATCTCTTAAAATTCTCAAATCATCCATATAAGCCTTGTTAATCATATGCCTCCACATATACCATGGGCCATGGCACGGAATTCTGCTTCTACACTACTATGGCCTACACCTTGTTTCTTGCTTCGCCATGTGACAAGGTTCAATTAATGAAAGAGGAATACCCCAACATGGATCGTCCGTTCATAGTGTTGCCAGTCCAATCAATAAAACTCTTCTTTTTCTCTAAAAGTCGTCTTATTCTAGCATCCCTTTCAACATCTTGGTATCTAGACCACCTTCAAGTGTTTCTTCTTAAGCGAACGCATAAAATGGCTCACCATGCTTACTGCAAATGCAATGTGGATTTGATATGAGAAAGATAAATTAACCTACCAACCAATCTCTTATAAGATTCTAAATGGAAAATTTAATAGGGTAGCCATCAAACCAGCTATGTCGTATGAGTCGGGATTTAAGGCGACAAGGAAGGCCAATGGGAGGAAGTTGCATAAATGAGGATGCTAAGATGGACATCTGGTTGTACCATGTTTGATAAGGTTCTGAACGACGTCCACCACGTGAAGTTGGGAGTTGCCGCCATCATGCACAATTGAGAGGGAAGACCGTGGTGGTTTGGACACATTCGTAGGAGACATTTAACAACTCCAGTAAGGAGGGTAGAAACCACGACGGTCGAGAGGGCGAGGAGAAGGGGCGGACTAAGGAGGAGTAGGGTGAAGAACTTGGGATAGACATGGAAGCCTTAGGCATCTCCGAGGACATGATCTCTGATAGGAGTTCATGGAGACACAAGATTAGGGTAGCAGACCGAGCAGGAGGAATAGTGCTCAAGTGAAGTGAGTGGAGGAAGGGTAGACTAGGGGTTGGCTTGTTGTCTTTCATGCATTATGTGCCTTTGTACTTATCTATGTTTGCTTGTTGTCTTTCATGCATTGTGTGCCTTTGTACTTGTCTATGTTTCTATGTTCCTTTGGTACAACTTGCTTCTCCTTGTAGTGGTTTCTTATCTTGGACTGCTTCTAGTCTTAATTTTTTCTTTTTCTTTCACTGTTCCTTTCTTTATTTGATTCATCCTTTTCAAGCTAGTTTTATTTTTGCACGCACTTTTTGCAAGCCGTGGGGTCTTCGTGAAAATGGCCGCTCTACTCTTCGGGGTGGAGGTCAGGTTTGGGTACATCTCACCCCTCCCAGACTCCACCTCCGAGTGGGATATATAGGCTCGTTTCATTTGGTTTTTATCCTCTTCTTCCAATCCTAGTTCTAAATTTAGCTCCATTAGTCTACATCCCAACTGCAAATGCAGGTAGGGTTTATTACGAGAAAGTGTCTGATTGAGCAAGCTTGTAGATAGCCTCTAAATTTCATGACCTTGATGAATTTATCAAATCATGCTGGGGAAGATTGCTTTAGCCAATAATTTTCAATTTGCATACCTTCCTTCATTTGTATCCAAAACCTGGAAGGAAGTCCATATAAACCTCCTTGTGTAAGTCACCGTTTAGAAGCATGTTCTTCACATCTAATTGTTGTAGAGACCATCCCAATTTAACAGTTACAGAAGTAAGACTTCGATTGTATTTGGTTTGGCTACATGTGCAAACGTCTGCTGGTAGTCTTGTCATAGGTCTGAATGAACCTTTTAGCCACATGTTTCATGTAATGCCTTCAACACTCTTAATTGCATCATACTTGATGACAGATACCAATTTATAGACTACTGTTTTGTAGTCTCTTGGTAGATCCACAGCTTATTCTTTTTCAAAACATCTAGCTCTTGTTTGATTGCTTGTTCCCGATCAGGAATAGTAAAAGCTTGACGAACTGATTTTGGTATCTTTATTTTGGAGATTTTAGCAACAAAGCCACAATAGCTTGGAAATAGCCTATCATTGTAAATACGGTCTGAAGTTGGATATTTTATGCTAGATTTTACCCATTTCCCAAGAACAATCAACAAATCATCTAATTCAGTTAGGAGTGTTATTGAGTAGGGACTTCAAGAACTTGGTGGGAGATCTCAATCCTTGGGACATTCCTTTGGGCCTGATTCTTGCAAAGTTGAGTCTGGGATATATCTACGTTTCTGTGGATCCTTTGTAGAGTAAACACAAAGATTAGGGATGCTAACCAATTTAGCTGTGGATAATGTAACTTAGGTGTAACCAGACTAGGATTAGGGCTGTTCTCAAGTGAAATTGGCAAGAGTGTATTAAAGTATAAGGGCTGAAGTTCTAGGGAAGATTTAGGACTCTTCTTCTATCAAGTTCCCCTGAAATGAGGCAAGGGAAAATATGGTTACTCAAGGAATGTGACAGCTTTGGACACAAACACATATTTTTTGGCTGGCAAGTAGCTTTTGTTAGCTTTTCGAGTTGGTGAATATCCTAGAGGCACTTTGAGACCTGGAATCAAGCTGGTAGATGTTGTAATTATGAACATGTGCAAAGATGGAACCCAAAGACTTTTAGAAGTAAGAAAGAAAAGGAAATCTTAGGATAAGAGTTCTGCAAACAGAGAGAGTGGCCGCACCAAGGTCTTTCTCCTTTTCATAGGGCCCGTAATGTTGAGAATTTCTGCAAAACATGCTGAAACATCTTGCCTTCCCCGAGTGAGAAACATTATGTTCTCCATTAGTTAGTTTTCTCTCCAAGCATGACTATGCCTTATTCCCAGAATTTTTCCATAAAGTTCATTAAGATCACGATTAAGAACAGACGTTTTATATCAAGATGTTGTGCGAACTTCATATCATCAATGTCGTTTGATTAATCAATGCATCTTGTTCCTGCCATAAGAGTTTAAGGGCAATAACAAATTTAGTGACATCGAGATTACCTCGTCTATGATTTTTCAACTTAATCTTGATTTCACGTCTCTATGAAGCACTCTCCAGATCTGATTAATTTTCCTAATGGCATCCCTCATCTCTTTGCCTTATTGTACAAAACGATAAGTGCGGCTAATATGAATCTTCAGTGAATCAAATCAACAATCAACCACGCCATGACAATTGAATTGTTCAATTCCCACCAAACAGGGATGGAGGTGGAGGGAACTAATGTTGCATTATGGCTCTATTTCTCATTTGGATATATTATTAAAAGCAATAATTAATTGCTAAACAAAAGAAAAGAAAAAAGACGTGTGCTTTTTTCTGAGAACTTGAGAGAGCAGATTATGGTGTAAGGAGTGTGTGTGAACCTTTGTAAACTCCACAATTTGATAGTGAATTTGTCCCTGCTGCTTGGTGGATGTAGGCTAAGGCTGAACCACGTAAATTTTCGTGTTCCTTCTAATTTGAATCACAGCACCAGTTTTGTGCTGCTGTGAATTTGTGTGTTAACCAGATAAGTTATCACTGTGTTCTCTATTTTCATATATTGTTTGCTATCGAAACTCTGTTTCATAACAACTAAAACTGAAGCTAGAAGGGAATCAAGACAATGTATAAGAGCATTTTAGGCCATCAAACATGATTGAAGAATGTTAAAGATCAAAATGTCACTAGATCATCAAGGAGATATCAATACCATTCATGGATGATTTACCAAGGAATATTTTGTACTACAAACAAAATGAGCATACCCAGTAGCAACCAGTCCATGTCTGTCCTTTCATAAAAATGCTGTGAATATTGTCTGCAGTATCATGAAGAGCAACTTAGGATAGTAGTTAGAAGTATTCGCTAGCTTGGTTAAGTAAAATAACTATAATTGATGTAACCCCATATTAGACTTTGCAACGAGCAGCCAGGCTTTAAATATGCTAGTGGTATATTGGTAACAAAAACTGACATTAATTATGCATGGAAGGAATAGCTGAGTACACTCCTATGATTAACCATCTGAAATGACTCTGCTGCGGACCAAAATTAAACTCATCCTTTTAGTGATTACTAAAGAAAGAAAATTTAGCATTTTTTGCACAACCCAAATAGAAATTTGTTGCATTTATGAGGGAAGACTCAAATATTTCGATCATTGTTTTACTACTTAATATTGCGAAATCCCACATTCTTACTGAATCAGATCACCCCTTTCCCAGCAGGAGTCTGAGATGAAAGTTAAATTATAAATAACCGTAAACAATCCAAGCGAAACAACCTTATACAATATCAGCTGAAAGTATTGCATTATGAACAGATACAGGAGGGAGAAAAACACACACAGAGAGAGAGAGAGAGAGAGAGAGAGAGAGAGACTGAGCATACGAGTAGAGTCAAGCAGGAGCATCCGGGATTCAGCAGTATCTACGATCACTATATCGTTGTATAGACTGTTGATGGCAGTCAGCATTGTAAAATCAGGTTCTGTATTGCCGTGTTCGGCTGATATGGAGGCCGAGCAGAGGAAGGCCTTTGGTTTTTTCCTAAGAATAGGTAGCGGATTGGAAGCAAATGACTGGGGAGCGCGGAGGAGGTAATTGTAACACCACCCAAATCTAGGCAAATGACTGGGAATCGTCGAAACTGGAAAGCTACTGAATAATAGCATTTTCAGTTTTCTACGGTTCACTCCTCAAACCGTCGTCAATTTGAGGATATCTTCAAGGATAAGGCAACATGGGGGTATATGATTGAAATAAAACCACCCAAACACTTTTGGTCTATTAATTTCATTCTCTATTTGGAAAACTAAAATAATATCTATACTATCTTATAAAACATTTTGTTAAAATTCTTACAAACTTTTAAAACTCTTAAAAACTTTTTAACGCGTTCATCCCTAAACGATTTCATCCCTATCCGATTTTATCCCTATCCGATTTCATCCCATATCTGAATTCGTGTAACTAACTGCAGATAAACACAATCAAATACAAGATAAACATCTCATTTTAAATATAAAAAATCTAAAATATAATTAGAATAATCATTGAGTTTTAACAGAATACTTAATTATTATATTTATAAAATGTTATATTATTAAACCAAAAATAAATTATTTCATTATTAAACTTAAATTAAATTATAAAAATAATAATCTATACTATATTATAAAGCATTTGACAAAAAACTCTTAAAAACTACTTTTTATGCGYAAAGTACTGTTTATTAATGCATATTACTTAAAACCCAAGATTACAA